GCAAAACCTTCCATTGTATGCCTGTGAGAAACGCTCCTAATGTATCACAGTGTGTATTTCAATGTGTAGCCCTTTGTTCTTTAAGGAGGGGAGTATAAAAACTGAAGTCTAATCCCGCCCTCCTCGTTCAGAATTGCCTATCTCTAATATGCTCTGAACCTTGCGCAAATAAACTTCTCTGCTAAACCCCTCTGGAATTCGTAAGAGTTCTTTCGTTTTCCACAAGATAACCATCTTTCCAAAGCAGTCGCCATGTTGCTTATTTATTTCCGACTTGGATGAACCAGGATGAAGACTTTATTTTCAACAGTGCCATGTCTCTGAAAAAGTGGGGATGATTCTTTCTGTATTCTGGCTGTGTTTGCACCACTCGTTCAGTCACAAAATATGTGTCAATTCAGCGCAAACGGAGATAAAAAAGCGATGATGGCTTCTACATCCACATTCCTAAATGGCCAGTTCCAGCCTTTTGAGACTTGCGCCGCTGCCTTTACAGTTAGTGGCTCCGAAAAACATCCTCTCTCCTACCTCATAGGCAGACTTCTTTCACCCGGCGCCGGGTTGGACTGAACTCACCATTCCCAAGTGAAAGGCGACCGGTGTCGAGACTGGCCTGCATTTGCCGGCAGCTCGCGCTGAGCCACGATGACATCAGCCAGTGCAACAATAGCCGGAGCCCAGAGCCAGCCCCGAGATGCTTTGAGACCCTTCCCAGGTGGGTTTCTGCCGGGGAAGGACAGGCCTCTTGCAGCAGCGGAAGTTCCTGCGCCCGGGTCACGTGGGCGGGCAAAGAAGAGGCCGTGGCGGCAGTTGTGCCAGCTGTTTGCCCGGGAGCGGTAGCTGCTTCTGCTGCTGCTGCTCCCCAGGAAGTGGACGTGGAACTGGGAAGAGGCTCGAGCATGGAGGGGTGGCTTCCAGAGCGCGGACGGTTGGCGGCGGGGCTGCTAGTAAACTTAGTGGCGTCTATTTGCATCGTCTTCCTGAACAAGTGGCTGTACGTGCGAATGGGCTTCCCCAATCTCAGCCTCACGCTGGTGCACTTCGCCGTCACCTGGCTGGGGCTATATGTGTGCCAGTCGCTGGGCGTCTTCGCCCCCAAAAGCTTGCGGCCGCGCCAAATCCTCTCCCTAGCGCTCAGCTTCTGTGGCTTCGTGGTCTTCACCAACCTCTCTCTGCAGAACAATACGGTCGGCACTTACCAGCTGGCCAAGGCCATGACCACACCGGTCATCGTGCTCATCCAGAGTGTGGCCTACGGCAAGACCTTTACCACCCGCATCAAGCTCACTTTGGTGAGAAGCAGGGCAGGGTGTGAGGGGAGGACGGGTGGGTAAAAGCCGAAGGAAGAGGGCGGCCCTCGCTTGCGCATGCTGAGGGTTCCCGAAGTAATGGGCTGCAATCCTAGAGCAAGGAGAAATGCTGGAAGTGAAGTATTGCCAGAAATAGTGTGCACTGTAGACAGGATGGCTTTTTGGTTGGTATGAAGGTTGGTTAAAAATAATTGATTTAGTTAAATGCTTTCCCAGGTCTAATGCTCCTAGATTTGATGGATTAGAATGTTTATAATTTCTAGATCCTATAGATGTGTCAAGTAGGGATTACGAAAGCCAACATGCCTAAAAAGTAAAGAATTGGTGAAGGTGGCTGTACGACTGTGTTGTACATTAAAATATATATATAAAAATGTAAAATAATGAATGTCCATAGTTGATTGTGGCTAACTATGTAGGGGCTTTGACTCAAAACTATAGAATGTAAACACCCCCTTTTCGCCCTAAAATTTGAATATACCGGTATTTATCAGGTTCAGTCACTAAACCAAAATGATACGTTTTTTAAAAAATTGTCAGACAAGATGTTATGAAAAGCTAGGAATATAGCGTCTGCTAGCCTCCTTGTCTTGTTTATACTGGCTAGAGGCTGCAGAAATTCTAATCATTTAGAGACCAAAAAGTTTATGAAGACTTTTTCAGAACTAAGAAATAATACTGAAATAGTTAAGCATCAAATGTTTCTTTTTTCTCTTTCACAGATTCCTATCACTTTAGGTGTTTTTTTAAATTCCTATTATGACATGAAATTTAGTTTTCTTGGAATGACATTTGCTGCTCTTGGTGTTATAGTGACATCTCTTTATCAAGTGGTAAGTTAAATATATATTTTTAAATGCAAACTTAGAATAATATTTTATGCAATCTATTCTGTATTTTTCAGTCTTTTGAGTAGAAAATATTTGTTGTACATAGCTTTCTTATTTAAATATGTATTATTTAACTGTAAGAAAAACTATTTTCTGTTGGAAAGCAATAGGTAGCTCTATGCATAAATATATAAATTGTATTCGAAGAAGGCTGACATATGCATTCTTGAGTTCATCCCAATCTGGTGCCAAGTTGTTTTGGCCATGGCTTTAAAATATTTGAAGAGTTCATTGATGAAGAGTGGAGTTACTAGTTTTTTAAAAATATTGTAGGATTGTGTGATGATCTACATGGGTGAGAAACTGTTGCTTATTCTGTTCTGTACTCAACAATAAACTGCAATAAACTACATTGTAATAATGTCAAATATTTTGTCTGTGAATAGCCTATTAACCATTTGAACAGTTTTGAACATCTTGATAGTGGTTCACCCTAGTTTCAATAGAAAAGAATATATGTAGCTCAGGGATGAACTGTGGAGTCCTTGGTATTCTTTTTGAGTTTGGTTGTTTGCTTCCAGACATTTCGTTACCCTATTACAGTGATGGCGAACCTTTTAGAGACCGAGTGGCCAAAAACTGACCACGCCCCACTCTACCTCCCTGCTCCGCCCCCGCTCTGCCCTCCCATCCCTCGCCCCGCCTGCCCACAGGACCACTCACCGCCTCCAGGGCCTGCCGCAGATCACCCAGGCAGCCCAGCAGCGCTATGCACACCCTCTGCCCGCGTCCTGCAGCATCAACTGCATGATGGGATGTGAGGGCAGAGTCTTGTCTACGCTGCCTGGCTGCCCTGTCCTTGGCTGCGCTGCTCCATGTGGACCACACTCGAGGGCGACTCTCCTTCAGGGAGAGGAGGGGGTTGTGGGGGGAGGCAAGGCTGGGGCAACGGCACGTGTGCCCACAGAGAGGGCTCTGAGTGCCGCCTCTGGCACCCATGCCATAGGTTCGCCACCACTGCCCTATTAGGTAACATCTTCAAGGCTGGGAGGGATTAGGATTTGCTCTCTGTTTATATATAGTAGCTTGCCTGTCAGTGTTGATGGTGATGTTTTTTTTCTTGGTAATTCCTTGATTATGATGTTGTTTACTACTTGATAGTTGGTAGTTCCGTTTCATAGCTTGTGTTGGTTCATAGCTTGTGTTGGTTCTGTTGTAACGGTTGGGTAATTAGGCACTCATCCATATTTATATGCATTATTTTTCCCATAATAATTTTTGGGTGAGAGATAGATGATATTTCCTCTTTTTAGAATGGAAAGGGATTAAAAAGACTTCTCAAAGAGTAAGTGGAGGTTTTATCACTAAACATACATTTTAAATTGAGTTTCCTCAGACCAATAAAAATAACTGATATTTTAAAGTTTAAAATGATATTTTCATTAAAGATAATTAAACAAAACAGTGATTGTTTTTAGAAGTCTTTACTTATTGTTGACTTTCTACTGACTTTGGGAACAGTAGATCATTACAGGTAGTACCCATAGGCCCTCTGCTTTCTCCAAGCAGCAACAGGCCAACAGCTTCCAATGCGAGCTTCAGGTTGATTCTCCAAGAGTGGGTCCAACATAAGCTGCAGGGCATGCACTGCACCTCTGGCAAGCTCTCATTCTTTCACTTCCTCTCATTTTGCGCCACACTCAACAATGCCTCCTGCACAGCTACCATCTTCGCCCATAGAGCCACTGCTGCCGCTCCTGTGTCATTCAGCAACAAAACATGCTATGCCTCAGAGTCCTTTCTTGCTGCACATTCCATGGTCTTCAGGCTATTGGTCCTCACATTAACAATGGAACCTGGAAGTCTTCCACCTACACCACTGCCCTGCTTCCTCCCAAGCTGATAACTCCTAGAGTTGTTCAGCCAGCATGGTCATTGTTAAAAATATTGGGAATTGAAATCTTCATATATGGAAGATGCCCACACTAGGGAAATTTATTCTAGAGCTATCAATGAAGGTCATAGCTGGAATTATATTTTCTTATTTCCTACCCATATTATGCAGTGGTAGCTTGCATCAACTTCAAGTTCAAAAATTTTAGCTCACATTTTCTCTGCCTGAATAACACTTCATTGCTAACAAGCTTGCATATTAAGATGCTTGTTTGCTTTTGAAATATTTTATTCCATTTCAATTTTTTTGGCATTTTAAGGAATCTGTAATCTAGACACTGATTTTTATGCCATTGTATCAGGACAAACAGAAGAAACGGACTGTCTTTTCTTTCAGATGCTTTAGATGTCTTGTGCAATTGGAATAAATTGGGTTGGGCTATACTTGCTTTTAAAGTACATACCAATAGAGTATTTTAGTAGGCATATTGTAATTTATGTCAAGGTTAGATATGTAGACTATTAATATATTTGTCTTTGTTTCAGTGGGTAGGAGCAAAGCAACATGAACTACAGGTAAATTCCATGCAGCTACTATACTATCAAGCACCAATGTCATGTGGCATGTTGCTGTGTGTTGTACCCTTCTTTGAACCAGTCTTTGGAGAAGGTGGAATTTTTGGCCCCTGGACTTTCTCTGCTATGGTAAATTGTTTATTTTTCTTCTTCATTCTATTTGTTCTAAATGCTCTTAAAATTTAACAAAAAACATTCCTGTTCAAATATAGGCAAACATAACCCTAAATTTGGAAGTTCTAAATTGAATCAGTGTTTCCCATTATTTAGTTGCTAGCCACTGAATTTTCAATTGTAAGATATTCCAATTGAAGGACTGCATGAAAAGATCATCCACTACTGAATTATTTTTTAAAATAATCTTTACTTTATGCATTAAGATAAATTAGTCCAACTAATAATGACTGCATATAGTATATTGGTTTCCAAACGTCTTCTGGCATTTGTTTGAAGGCACACAATGAAGCAATCTTGCTTGATTGTGTCTTGATTGATTCATTTACATTGTCTTGGTTAGAGGGATGGCTTGGGATATTCCTTGGTTCTTCTCTTGCCCTGAATTTTGTCTATTTTTGGCTCTTTGCCAGCTCCATAGTAAAAGTTTTGGGAGCAGCAACAACAACAGAAACAGCAGACAGCAAACAGATTACTTATGAGTAAACAGGCAGTGGATTGGGCCGCACACTGTTTTCCAAGAATAATCAAAGGGCTCCTTATTATATTGTTTTGGAAGGACAGTAAAGACTATAGTACCATTAGGTTTTAATATTCTGATGGTTGGTCATTTATCAATTGTAATGGCATTCTGGCTGCTTAATGTTTATTTTTACTCCATACTTTGTGGGGGCATATTTTTTTTTCAAAATAAAAATTAACTTTTAATTCATATTTTTATCCGTGCATGATGTAATCGAAAGGTATAATTTATAACTTCAGTAAATGATAAATAAAACTGCTTAGGAGATGGTACTTAAGATATTCCTGGAAGTAGATATTGTGAAATGTCAATCTATTGAACCCTTTTTATATAGTTTTGTTAACTTTTATACTCCATATTTCAGCTTGCAATTAAATGTTCAAAGAAAAATGCTTCCAGACTTTTAACATCAAATTGAATAATAATTCAAAATAGAGAAAGCTAAGGATAAAAAATCAGATCTAATTGTTTACAAAAACAGGCACCAACTTTCAGAACAGCAATGCTAGATGAAGATCCAAGATGTTAGCATACAAGATGTAAGGTACCATGACAAAGAGAACCTTTGCACAAGTTCCAATAGAGTTACAAAGCTGTAATTCTTACTGTGATTATGAAATGATTGGAAAGGCAATGATAAAGATACCATTTGCAACCATCTATGTCACTTTGTAGAGGATATTGTCTATTAAAAATCATTTGCAGTGATATGTAAGTGCTTTCTTTTCCTAATCCACAGTCTATGGTGCTGGTCTCTGGAATAATAGCATTTATGGTGAACTTGTCTATTTACTGGATTATTGGGAATACTTCACCAGTGACGTATCCTTTCACTTGGAAAATTATTGCTCCAGTTTTGTAGAATTATTTACTGTATTATACAGGTAATAAACTGTAGAAATCGGAAAACATCAGGTGAGTCACCAATAAACTATTTTAAGTAAAACTTTCAGAAACTGTAGAATCATATTGTATTGGACTTAAACACTACATTTTAGGATCTTTCAACAAGTTTATTTACATTGTTAAGAGTGAATTGCCTTAATTAGGTATCTTAATGATGCTGTATAATCTGATATCTGGTACCGTGGTATTAATTGCATGTCAGTGTTACAACTATATTCAAATTATATGCATTCCATTCTAATTTATTATAATTTTGCTTATACATTGAAATATTATAATCTTATAAAATAAAAGCAGTTAAGGAATCCCATTGTTTTATGAGGGAATGACTCATCTCCAATTCTTGGATTTACTTTCTATAGTAGCAGTAAAATAATGATGAATCTTTTATTGAAAATATATATATAATGAATACAGGCAGTCCTCAACTTACAACAGTTTCTTTAGTGACTGTTCAAAGTTACAACAGCACTGAAAAAGTGACATGACCATTTTTCACACTTACGACCATTGCGGTATCCCCATAGTCACATGATCAAAATTCAAATGTTTGGCAAGTGTCTCATATTTATGATAGTTGCAATATCCCTGGATCATGTGATCACCTTTTGTAACCTTCTGACAAGCAGTCAATTGGGAAACCAGATTCACTTAACCACGTTACTAACTTAACAACTGCAATGATTCACTTAACAAGTGTAGTAAGAAAGTTTGTAAAATGGGGCAAAACTCACTTAACAAATGTCTTACTTAGCAACAGAAATTTTGGACTCAAAATTGTGGTCATAAGTTGAGGACTACCTGTATTGTTAGCAGTGAGAGAAGTTTTCCTTAAAGCCAAAAATGAATTAACAGATACATGAGAAAATCTTGCTTTCAGTTTTAGACAGCTTTAAGAACGATTGTATACAATAAGGAACTATGGAGATGACCCTGGCAAAAGGATGCCCTAGCACAATGATGGCGAACCTTTTAGAGACCAAGTGCCCAAACTGCAACCCAAAACTCACTTATGTATCATCGGGTGCTGGGTGGGCGTGGCCCATTGGGTGGGTGTGGCCCATTGGGTGGGCATGGCTGCAGTGGTAATGGCAGACTGGGTGGGACTAAAAAGTTCAATCAATAATTCCAATTTTGCGAGATCTTTTTTTTTCCCCGCGAGAAGTTGACATTGATTGATTGAATTATTTTTTTTTGCACGCGGCGGCGGAGGGGCGGAGGCCTAAAGCGAAAACGTTTTATAAAACCCAGCTGAAGGCATAGGACTGGGGCGACGGCTCGCATGTCCACAGAGAGGGCTCTGCGTGCCACCTGTGGCACGCGTGCCATAGGTTCGCCACCACGGCCCTAGCAGTAACAAAAATATTATTTAAGCTCAGGAGAAGAAGAAAATTTTAGAATGAAGCTGACTCCAATTTTAACTTGCTTGGCAATAAGAGAGAGGGAGGAAAATGCTATTAAGCTTTCAAGATTCTATTACTATAACCTATATTAATGAAGCAGAGTTCCAATTATTGTTGAGGGAGGTATTTTCTGACATAGCTTACATTTACAGGAGTAGGACTTAAGAAGCCAAACCTGGCACAGGATTTAGTATTTGATTATTTTGGATTAATTATGTTCCTTAACACAGTTACGTAGATACAACATGTTTGGACACTTCAAATTCTGCATCACTCTCATGGGAGGATATCTCTTATTTAAGGATCCTTTGTCAATTAATCAAGGCCTTGGAATTACATGCACATTGTTTGGCATTCTAGCTTACACACACTTCAAACTTAGTGAACAAGATGGGAACAAAAGCAAGCTGGTTCAACGTCCGTAAATTAAGTATTTTTGTTGATAACAAATGAATTACTTTAAAATGCACTGATTCCAAAAGCAATGCACTGTCTATGGATGAATCTAAAATTGTCCATCTCCCAGCAGAGTGGACCCTCCCGAGCAGAGCAGATATGCTCTCCCCTATAGCTGCCATGCACTGCCTCCTTCTACGCTGGCCAGTTGGGGTATGGATTGGATTACATTGAGGGGTCACAGGATTCAGTAGAAAGAAAAGTATAGTAAAGAAGACTGGTAGATAATGGGTGTCTGCTAATGTTGGCATCTCCAGATTTTCTCTCTCTCTCTCTCTCTCTCTCTCTCTCTCTCTCTCTCTCTCTGTGTGTGTGTGTGTGTGTGTGTGTGTGTGTGTGTGTACACATACATACTATGCACAATTTGTTTCTTTAAAGGGCTGTTTGGAATTAACAGTCCAATCTTTAAGCGAACTGTCCTATTTATACCAAATGAACTCATTCAGACAGATACAGTGTTTTTTGCTAGAAAATTAATCATGTCCTTATGATTATGTCAGTATTAAAAGAGACTGTTTGCTTTTTTGTGATCAAATGAACATTGAAGTTCCTTGATCTGGTAAATATTGAGAAACCAAATTGTATCTTTTCTGGATTCTGGATTTTTAAATTTCCATATGGGATTTTGTTTCTAATAGTCACATACATTTTATATTTTTCTGCATATTTTAAAACTTAATGAATATTTAACTATAATTATATTCACAGTTGAGCAAATTACTGGTACTCCAAAATTATTAAGACCCGAGAATTTTACAAGTTGTTAAGTTTATAAGTATTACCTAACTCAGTGCAGGCTGGCTCCTGTACTTTGAAAGTGTTTTCTTTTTACTTCGTTTTTACTTTACTTGTGTTTAAAATTTAACAAAAAATATATACAAGTTCCAAGAAAGTTTACAAATCAAGTTGCGGGTAACACTACATCTGCACTGGCCAAAATAATTAGAAAAGAAACCTCTAATTATTTTGGCCAGTGCAGATGTAGTGTTACTCGCAACTTGATTTGTAAACTTTCTTGGAACTTGTATATATTTTTTGTTAAATTTTAAACACATTTAAGACAGAACTTCCAAAGCATTATGGGGATTTTTTTTAAATCAACATCATCCCATTCTTTCAAATGCTAGTTAAGGATAAATGCTCACTGAATATTAACTTGGTGATGTAAAGATAACCATGTTTAAACCAAGATAGGGTATTAGTGAGAAATGCTATCGTCTCATCCAAATGTTTCCTTATGTTTTAAACTGTAGTTCTAATATTGACTTGAAATTATGGGTTAGTTCAACTTAGTTGGATTATGATTAGCTATGGATGGCTGGACTAGTTTGTCATGGCACCATGCTCTAGATTCTATGCTATCGGCTCTATATAGAGGTAGCTCTGAACTCCTGACTGTAATAGAGACTGCTTATTATGGTTGGAAGTCATAATGGCAGTTAAGGGAAGCGGCTTCCTTACAACCCTTTCATCCCTGCTTTCCCTGATGTGGTTGTTCAATAGATCATGCCACTCAGGGTGATTGGGAAGGCTCTGGAAGGCCTAGCACAGGGCCTGTTCCAGGATTCCAAGCCTCTCCCATCTCCTAAGATACCCCATGCTCTGCTTTCCTCCCCTCAGAGTCTCTGCTGAGCTTGGGCCAGCTTCTCATCCCACCAAGCGCCACACCCTCCTCCCCACCTCATGTCACCACTGAACACTTTTCAAAGATCTCTGAGCTCAGGTTAGGAAAAGAGAACAGGCTGCTTTCAGGATGGCACTGCATGGCCCAGCAACAGAGCAGTTTGTTCTGTTTCCCTAACCTGAGCTCTGCAGTATTCCACCATGTTCTTCGGGGCTGCAGAATGCTGTACTAGGGAAGCAAAGCAAAGCACTCCATTGCTGGGTCGCATGGCACTATCCTGAAAGTAGCCATTATTTTTCAAGCCACCACAATTCAATGTGGCTGCTTGGAAAATGGCAGCCGTTTCTGGGGTCGCACTACATAGCCCTGGAACAGAGCAGCCTGTCTTCCTTTCCTAAACTGAGCTCTGGAGATCTTTGAAAGGTGAGTGAGGAGGAGGATATAGGGCCTGGTGGGATGGGAAGCAGGCCAAAGGCCTGCAGGAATCCAAGGAAAGGAACCGGGGTGGGAAACAAGCAGGGGGATGCTACAAGGTCCCTTAGGTCAGCCCTAAGGGCAAAAGACTGAGGGCATTGCAGGAGCCATAACTTCAGCAATGGGTTGTAAGTAGCTTTTGGGGGCTCTGCAGTAACTTTGAACGGTCGCTAAGCTATGAGTCACAGGTCGAGGACTACCTGTAATGGAACAGCAGAAGTTTACAAAAAGATGAGAATGCTATAATAAAAGTGTAGTCTGGGACAAATCTTTGTATTATTGCTTTATATATTGAAAACTGTTGTGTTCTGTTTTATTTTTGAGAGCCAGTCTGGTCTACAAGTAGTCCTTGACTTACAGCCATTCAATTAATGACCATTTGAAGTTACAACAACTCTAAAAAAATGACTTTATGACAGTTGCACTGTCCTGGGGTCACTGTTTGTAATTTTCCCAGCTGGCATCTGACAAGCAGTCATTGGGAGAAGCTGGGTTCACTTAACAATATGTGACTCACTTAACAACTACAGTGATTCGCTTAACAACTGTGGCAAAAAGAGTCATAACAAGGGGCAAAACTCACTTAACAACTGTCTTGTTTAGCAGTGGAAATTTTGAGCTCAGTTGTGGTCATAAGTCAAAGACTACGTGTAGCAGTTAAGGCCTGAGTCTAGAAACCAGGAGACTGAGATCCCTGGTTTTGCCTTAGACATGAAGGTCAGCTGGATGACTTTGGAGCAGTCATTCTCAGTTGTTGTGGGGAAAATGGAGACAGGAGAATTAGGTATGTTTGCTGCCTTAAATTTGTATGTGCGGGGAGTGTATATAAATCTTTAAAAATATATTGGGAAAAAGACTTTTCTAGGAAAGGAACAAAAGTCATTTCCTAATGAATCTTTAGTTTTAAAATAGTTATTATCTGAATATTCCAAATATTAACTGTAGTTCTAATTGAAAATACCCAATATGAACAAGGTGAGTTGATCAACTGTAATAATTTACTGTTTGGCCACAATTCTAGAAGGGAATGCAAAACTTGAGAAGAACTGGACTAATATATTACACTATGATTCAAGAGTCATAGCTGGTTTAATGTACTCATTAGACATATTGTCTGATTAATGTACTTTTTTGGAATCCAAAGCTGCAAAAATTATAAAAACCTAACCATATTATACATTAATGTAATGATCTCTAAAGTTCTGGAAATGCAAGCACAGTCAGTATTTTGCACTTTTGATTCATTTGTACTGTTTGTTACAGGAAAATGTAGTTGCTTTTTAATTGTATACATTTATGTTAGAAAATAATATGATAGGCTTATGTTGCTTTTAGGAGTGCATATAAAATCAGTCTGAATCAATCTGCTTTGGGATGAAGCTTTCTCTATTGAAAGTCATGCTGTATCAGTCCTAGTCTAGCACCTTAATCTCTTACTGACTCTATTGTGTATGTTTGTCTGTATTACGTTCTGGTGTACTCACTATCCATCCACCCCTGGCAATTTCTATTTTTACAAAGAATAAACCCTAAAGCAGATGAGGAACAGAGTCTTTGCTGTCCTATTACAAGTAGATACTTAGGTCCCACAAAAGATTTAAATTTGTTTTTATCCCTCCTTTATTGTTTTTCTAAATAACTGAAGATGACAAACATAACTACAGGTAATCCTCAAGTTACGGATGTTACATTTGTAACCAAGATTCATAAGAGTGAATCACATAACTTGAACTTTCGCCCACACATTCGCTAATTGAATGTGCAGATCATTAAGTGCATGAGATATCTCAGGGTGGGGAAGACCATGGGGTGGCCTAGTGCTTCCGGCCACCCAAGGTCCCCCCAACCCTGTAAGATACCTCATGCTTTCCCCTCTCCCTTATCCTCCCCGACCAGGTCACTTATCTTACATAGATCACGATGACCAAGGGAGCTGTCTCCTCTCCAGCCTCTCTGCCTTCTATTTTCCCCACAACAATCCTATGAGGCAAGTTAGGCTGAGAGAATGTGACTGGACTAGAGACACCTAGCTGGTTTTCACTCCCAGTTTCCTGGTTTCTGGTGCCTTAACCACTACATCAAACTGGCTCCTATGAATCTGAAATTCAAAGTTTCTGTCAGTATTATGAAAGCTCTGCTATTTCATATAATGAGCAACTGGATCTTAGCTATTATTCAAAATGAAGAATGGTTTAAATGCAATATTTGATAGCTGTAGTTATTATTCAAAACAGCCTGCTAGCAAGTAACATTCAAAACGGCATGTCCAGTGCAGTGTCATTGTGCATTACAAACAATTTTGTGCTTGCAGAGTATTTTCTGAAATGTAAATACATCAAACATCAATTTCTGCTTGTATCCTATGTCTTGAAGAGGGTAACAATAATTTAGAGTATCCTTATCCATCCAAGCTCAATGTATTCTTTCCTCAAGTATTTTAGAGAACAAAATGGTAACTCCACATCTCATTCAGCTATAACATTTATTGCATTTGTAAACTAGTCGTAGATGGGGAATTTGTAGGTTTCTAGATGCTACTGGATTCCACTTCTTGTCAGACTTAGGTTTTAAGAATAACTGGAGCTATAAACCACTAATATCTAGAGACTTAATAATTTCTCATCTCCTTATTATAACACACAACAAACATGTACAGAGTATTTTTTTTTTCTCTATAAAATTTTTTATTGTTTTTATCATAAAAAAAAGAAATACATCACAGATATTACACAATGTTATATCCCATCCCCCCACCCCCCCGGACTTCCCAAACCAACCTAGGCTAATATTCAAATACAAGTACACAAATATTAATATCTCTAACTCCAAAGTCTAAACTTAAACAATCCATCTCCTCCGTATTAATAAAAATTATTCATTTAGTTAGTTCTTCAAATATCCAAAATCTTTACCATTTCAGCAAGATAGTTTAACACCATCCCTTACTTATACA